CTTTCCTCTTCCTCTGCCTTCTCCTCCTCCTCCTTTCTCTTATTCTTCTTCCTCCTCTTTCTCCTTTTCTTTTGCTCCCTCCTCCTCCTTTTTCTCTGAACAGTGAAGAGGAAAAAAATTACACAATAAGAAATTAGATATTTAAGTTTACTTTTATCAGGTCTTTTATTTTGATACATCAGACTGGTATCAAAGATCTTTATTTTCTTCAGGATTCTATCTGCTCAAACTGAGACCTCACTCTACTTCATTTCCAAATACATTCAAGAACACAGGGAAGGTTTCCTATCTGGGCAAGAGCCTTTACCTTATTTGAGATATGGACGCATACAAATTGATCTAGGATCTCCAATTTCCTTTTTTAAAATAATTTTAACACCAAGTACCTTGAACTGCCTAAGACAAAATAAATGCTCAATAAATGTTTTTAAGTGAGTAGAGATATTGGAATATGCTATAATTTTACTTCATCTTACACACAATGGACCTTAAAAAAAAGATGGTCCTGTTAACTGGGAGTGTGGTAGAGATAAATAGCATACAAGGGAGAGACATAGGAGTCTGAGAGGTATGGCTTTCAGCTTGGCTATTCTATAGCAGTGTGATGTTGACCAAGATGCTTAATCTCCATGAGTTTCATAGCTCTCTGAGTAAAGCAAGTGGTCGTATAAGAAATAGCTTTGGTTTCTTTCAGAATTTGTATTCTGTAATACAGGATAACTGTTTGCAGAAAACTTTTACTTTGAGTCCACATCTGTGCTCTAGAAGTCCTCTTGTAGTGTTTTCTTCCTTCTAGAGCCTCATAAATAAATCTTACACTCTTCCACCAGACTAACAAGTGTCCTTTCTTCCAGAAACAAACAAACAGTTTTTCAGCACCCATACAGCTCTAGGCCTTTCCAAATATGTTCTATAATCTCAATCTTCAAAACAGTTCCTAAATGTTAAACATTTCTCAATTTTTCCTCATCTGGGTAGCCTCCCTGTGGAAGTCTAGCATGTGATTTGGCTTCTTTGGGTGCAGTGTTCCAAATCCAGCAATTTTGAGGTGCTGCAAGGTAGATTGGTAAGACAGCCCTCTCGTTCTGGACAAAGCACTTCATCAATGCAGACAGTTTTAGGCCCGGTTCCTGGTGGGCAGAGCCTGCACTAGTAGCATGGGGAAGTAATTATTGGGCAGTTGCTTTCAGAAGAATGAGAGTAAGGGAAACAGGTTGGCTAGGAGAAAGAGCCAAGCAAGAATGCTGTCTCAGCTGGAGTCCATGCTGATCCCACAGGAAGCTCTAGACAGTGAATGGCAGCACAGGATTGAACCCCATTTCCAAAGGCAAAGGATCCTGTAAGCCTCTTGCATCTGCAATTCCATCAGTCATTGGCAATAGACTACCAGAGAAAAGTGTTACCTTTCAGGCAATGTGGCTCCTAGCAGCCAAAGGCAATTCTCAGTCAATGGGGTCAGCTCTGAGCTATTTAGCAGCCAACAATCATAGGAACTAGGGGATGGGAGCCTAATAAAGCAGATCTGGGAAGGGCACCAACAAGTGACTCTACAGTGCCTAGGGTAACATTGGCTTCTATCAGCTGCATCATATTTTTTTAAAATTTTTATTGGCTTTCTCATTTACTACAATCAATAAGTATCTTTCCATACCTACTGGTGTTGAAGGCTAGATACTTCTTTCTGCTTTTGCACAGATTAGTTTGGTAACTTAAGTAGAAAACATTGCTTTCCCCCATTATGTGTCATCTCATTACATTTTTTTTCTTCTATCCCTGCATTATTTTGGATGCTGCCTTCCAATATTCTCTAAGTTATCCAATTTCATGTGTACCTAGTTACTTAAAAACAGACTGATTTTGTCAGCAACATATAGTGTCTGTTCAATCCCGCATACCAATGGCCCAGTATTCAGACTGTCAAGATCAAACCCAGTGAATATCTATCACTGTAAAATTATCATTTTGCTTTCTTGGAAATATAAGTTTGAGGATAAAAGGTTTCATTGGTTCAAAGAAAATGGTTCTGTATTCCTCAGATCAAAAGACTGTTATAGAAATGTTTGGATCTTCCTCCAGCCCAATTTAGAATTTGATTTTAGAGCATCGAATACCCAAAGACAGCAGGGGTCTTTAGGCTGGCTCTTTGTTAATCAGACTTCTGATCAACAGTAAAATGAATCAGTCTTTTCACAGGAACCCTGAAACCTCAATGCCTGAGAGGTTAATGTGGACAGTGTCTGGTTGCCTGAGGTCCAAGCTGTACTTTCTGGCCATGTGGATAGTTAATGCAATCAAGGATAAGATTAATTAAATTAGAAGTCTGCTTTTATTGCTCAGAAAATACAGCAAATTCAATACTCTTTGATGGCTTGGAGCTGGAGGCCTGATTCTAATGTGATCACTGCTAGATGGGCAGAGCCAGACGGCATGTCAGTTAGAGAAGCAGCACAACTCTACTGATTGATTATAGGCGGCCTCTATGTTGCATTTAGAATCTTTCAGTAAGCAATCAGCGTAACCCTAATTCACCTTGACAGGTTGCTACCCAGCTCTGAGCCTGGCCCCTTCCAGTTTGCTCCTAAATATGCTACTCAGGTACAAGTCATCCCCTTCAATTAGCCTAGAGCCCTGTTGTTCTGTCATGCTTAAGAAATCTTAAGCACCTGCTCTTTTCATCACCCAAGCCCTCTCCTAGAACGACCTACTTAAGGAATTTTCTTCCAAGGGAGTATATGTGTGAAAATCCTTTTCCCTGGAGTGTTGAAGGAGCCCAACCTATTCAGCAGCTATTAAGAGGAAGACACAATATATGCTCCATCCCATTATCCTTTGAATTAGACCCCGTTTCTTAAAAAACATTGACTTTATAAACAGAGATATGTAGTTTTGAGCCTTTCCTTACAATTTACTCATTATAAGCTCCTGTACAATTATTTAACCTCTCCACACCTCAAAAGTGAGACTCAAGATACCTACATTTAAGGTTATCTGAGGGTTAAAATAATGCAATGTAGCATTCATTGGAAGTCTCCTAGGTTTTTTAATGTTTTGTTGGTTTTATCATTAACCCAAGTTACAGAGACTCAGAGAGATCAGGTGACTATCTTAACAATGTTTGCTACTTTTCCACACTTACCTTTTCCCCCTTTCAAAAATAACCTCTAAGGCTAACTAGTAGAGATAAGTTTTAGAGTTCTATAGCACCGTAGGGTGACTACAGCGAATAATAATATATAGTTTTGAATGGCTAGGAGAATATTGAATGTTCTCAACACAAATAAATGAGAAATGTTTGAAATGATGAATATGCTAATTATCCTGGTCTGTCACTGTACATTACACATATTGAAACATCACTACATAGCCCATTATTATGTACAATTATGGTGTGTCAATCAATTTTTTAATCTAACAAAGCCTCTTATAAAAGTGAATGATATTAGTCATTTCCACCTTAGCACGAATTTGATTCTAAGTGCCACTCTACTCGGATTTTAATGTACATTAAGCCAGAGGTTCTTAGTTTCAGTTGCACATTGGAATTGTCTAGCATACTTGATGCCTGGGCCTCTACTTCCAAGGAATAGTGCATTATAACTAGTCTAGGGTGCTGCTTGGGCAGAAGTGATTCCAAGATTGAGAAGCACTCTCCTTCCAATCATGGAAGGAGATACTTTGGCCAATGTTAAGAAATTTCATTGAGGGCTGCAGGACTTCTGACCACTGAAAGAGTCAGCATCTTCAGGCAGGAAACCACTGGGGACTACCCTAGGAGTACCGGCCATTTCAGGACACTGGGAAGGACACTGAGTGCCCCCTGACCTCAGCGTGCACGTGGCATGGGGCCCTTCAGGGTGTACAACTTAGCTCTGGATTGTCATTTATTTTTTCTATGCTTGTCTCCCCAGCTAGACTCTGAGCTTCCCTGGCATTTCTCAAACACCCAGTTAAACCTTGTGAAATAGATTTGGAACACTCTCCTGAAATGCGTTTCAAAAGTGCTTGATTCTAACCAACTTTAGAGTATGACTGAGGATCAGACAGAACCATGCGAATTTTAAAATTTTTAAGCAAGCCCAGAAAGAAACATTTTAAACATATCACCCATTTTTACAGGATAATGAGGATCTTTTGCCTTTAAAATATAAACAAATAGATCTTTAGGTCTTGACACACAAAATGAAACAGCAGCTAATGGATAGATAATTAAGTCTTCTGTCACTTTAAACCTTTTCTAGAACAACATAGAAAATAAATTAATTAAATAATTTTAAATTGGCAAATAAGTAGATAAATGAATTAATAACACTAATTTATCATGCCCTTACAATACTGTTTTCAGGATCATTTTAAAGGTGTTCTTCAAAACATGACAAAATAAAAGTGTTTCTTATAATGTTTTCAGGATTCCCACTTGTCCCATCTAGACCTAGGCAGAATGTTCCTACACTAAGAAGTCAGAGCTTAACATGTGGATATATTGGATAACTTGTTTTTTGAAAAAGACATTAAAAAACTTCCCTTTTCAAAATTTTTAAACTGGTATGTGTCAAAAAGTTCTTTATTTTAGTTAAATTGAATCTTACTTATTGCATAGGAATCATAGCACTTTAGGACAAAAAGAGACCTTAGTTGGCAGATGAAGAGGTTGAAAACCAGAGATGCTGAGAAATTTGGCCAAGGCTGCCCAGGAGCTATTGACAGAAATGGGATCTGAATTAAACCTCCTCAAGACTCTGTTCCTTGCTTGGTTCATGTCACATATTGCAGATTTTCAAGTTATTTGTTTTGAAAAAAGGGGAGGGAGGAGAATGAATCTGTTTTACATAAAGTATGGACTTAGGAACTACTGGTTCTTAAATCATCTTCTTCCAGATTAGCCTCCTTGAGAAAGTTCCTTATTTTTAGAAGACCATAATTGTGCCCACGCCAATCCACCCTGGGTGGCATCCATCTTTTCTTTCCTTTTCTTTCTTGTTATTGCATTTGCCTTGAGAATACAGCACAGGGCCACACCAAGAAAAGATGGAGAGAGAAAGAAGCTATGGTGTAAAAAACAGTAATGAGGCTGACCCCTTCTGAGCGAGTGCAGTGCTGATCTAATTGGTAAGTCTGTGTCATGTCTACCTCTCTCATCCTGTCCTCATCATTTTCACTGAGCTCCCACTGGGTACACGGTCACATGTACTTCTGAGGCAATTCTTCCAGCAACTGAAATAAATAGCTGCAAACTCAGCGAAGGAATCTGCAGAAATTGATGTCTTCTAGAAGAAGGGCTGGAGAGCAATGACATGTCAGTGCAGTCCATCAGCAGTCACTGGGAACAGGGAAAATAGTTCCTCCAGTGTCTTATTCAGGCAGGGAGATGTCATCTGCCTGATTGAGAGCAAGCAGAAGATCAGCAGTTGTTTCTATTATAACTTGTCATCAGCCATTGGTCCAAACAGAGAAAGTTTGGTCACAGCAGCTTGACCACAGATCAAGGCATGTGTTTTGTTTAGCCCCATGGACAGATGCTAATTTGGGAAAGCGAGAAATGAGAGCTTTCTTCCAGATGCTCTGTTATTACAGTTAATATGAAATTTATAGCCTTGCTTACACGGAGGATCTAGGCCACTAAAATGGAGATCAGAAAAAGAAGCACCGCATTACTTTATGGGTGTAGAAAGAGGAAGAAGGGAATATTATCCTTTCTATCCTGTATTCCAAGCTCATTCCTAGCACCTTTGCCTGACTTTCCCACCCATCCTCCCAGGGCAGCTGCTTCTGGGCAGGGCAGCCTTCCCTGACCACTCTGTGCATGGTGCTCCTGGTCCCAGTCACTCCTGTCACATCATCCTGTTTTCTTGTTTTTGTAGAATTGATCATCATCCAGAATCATCTTAATTTCTTTACCTGTTTCCCACTTGTAGAAAGTAAACTGCACAATAAAAGGGGCCCGATGTTGCTTTTGTTTTTCCTATCACCTACAATGGAGGCTAGAAGACAATAGATATACAATAAGGATTTGCTTAATGAAGTAATTATTTCATATGTGGTAGTAATAGCTTAATTCTTTTCAAAGAGCTATCATCAGGTTGGGTTGTAGAAGCGAGGGGAGGATCTTGCAGAGCCAGGCAGGCCTCAGAGCTCAGGTGTTCAGGATGTTGAGAATGGAGGAGGTACTGGATTTAGACTCTGGGGTAAAAAGTGGGAGACACTGAGGAGTGTGAGAACAGCTCTGAGGCAACTGAGACCAGAAAAACCTAGAAACAAGTAAACTCATGCTTCATCTTAGAAGGTTTCTAGCTTTATTTGTCCTTTGAAGGTAAGAAAATATCTCTAGGACTCACTAGTGTGAGGCTTGCCTTTGTTGTTCCATGAAATTCCCTGGCTGAAAAGGGAGAGAAACAGAGAGAGAAGAATAAATTCTAATAGCAGGCCCTTGTTAATCTTCAGTAGGCTTTGAACAGATTCCTACCCTCTGGGTTCATGGCCTTTCATGACTGGACACTGAGGGGGATACAAGATAAAAGTTAATCAAAAAGAGTATAAAGCATTCTGATTGGCATGTGGCACACAAGGTATACAGACAAATACTCAACAATGGTGCAGTTTCTTCAAATTAATGGTGATGTTTCCTTGTAACTTAAATGCACCCTCATCACCACCATTAAATAACACTCAACATTTAGAGAGTTCTCATTAAACTAGGGAAGTCAGATTCCTGGGAGGGCATACGTTGTGCTAGGAGATAGTCTAAGCATAAATATGTGTCACCTTCTCAGCATTGCTGAAACAGGGTTGAAATTTTATATTTTTAAACTCATGAGGAGTTTAGTTTTAAAGATAGGCCATGAGACTTTCAAGAGATGTGCCGGTGGCTGGGCTGTTTAGGATGGAGCCTCCGGTCTCAACAATTCTTGCCTGAGCCCCTTCATTGTCATTTAGAAGCAATCTACATCCCTCATTATCTTTATCATTTTGGCACCTCTTTTCTCATTTAGAATGTCTATATCTATACTGATTATGGATGAGATGTTCAGGGGCAACAAATACTTTATGTGTTCATCTGAATTTCTCAGCCCTTGCCATTAGGATGCAGACAAGTAAGTTTTGATCAGTGGATCATAAGTAGCAGTAAGGGATGTCAATTTATAGCTGAGGCAGTGAAGAGAAGAAAGAGGAGTTTCTCAGCTCCTTCTTACCCTGTGGCCTTCCTCAGTAACCTTGGGAATTGCAAGTTGAGATGGTGGAAAGGGGACATGCAAGGAGTCCGGATCCCTGAGTTACAAGGTGGAGGAGTGCTTCCGTCAACCTGCCTCAGATCCTTCATGAGCCAGAAATATACTTTTATATATAAAAGTTTGGTGATGAACCACTGAGATTTTATGATTTTTTTTTTTGGTTGCCACAGCATGATCTAAGTTATTTTTTCCTAATACTCCACTTGTAATCACTTCAAACTATAGGTCCCAGCTGAGGGTTATAAATCTTTGTTTTCTTACTGATCATGAAGATGTTGGATCTCAGTGCATCTGCAGAGACAAGTTTGTAAAGTTCTGCTTCTGTGACTTAGGAGGCTAGGCAGGTTTATTCAAATGTCGTGGTACGAGTTTCAGTAGATCTCCAAAGTAAACTTTAAGTTATTTTTTTGGTTAATTTTTCAAACTAGGTCTGATAGTTATTAAGTATTCATTTGAAATTGTCTGGGTATTAAAGTCCTTGAGCCTTAAATAAAAAGTGTAGTGATTTACTAGAAATAAAAAAAAAAATTAGCTGAATGTATTAGAATCATAGTTACTATTTGAAAGGCCTCATCTCAACAGAGCTGAAAGAGCATGCAGAGCTTTCCCAATAACAAGGCGACCTAAATCATGTTCCCATTGGCAAGAGTTCCCAATCTATTCTACTGAACTGCTGCTATGCCCAACAAGAAGATTATATTGCCTCTCAGGTTAAATTGTATTGCAGGAGGCTGGCAAGAAACTCAGTGTGCAAATCAAGCTTCAGATGAACACACTTGATAGAAAATAACTGAAACAGGGCAAAGGTCAGGATTTATAAGAGAGTAGCAGGGCTTTGGAAACACAGGACCCTCAGCTATTTCACCATTTGTCAGAGGCAATAATGTAGAATTATACACTTTAGGAAATGAACACAGTAAGCTAATCTTCTTCTTGAGAAGTGAATTACTTGCTCATCTTTGGATGCTGTATTACCTTTCTCCAGACACGGAATCTCCTTATAAACAAGGGCTATGTCTTAAATTTTATCTTTGCAGACTTTAACCCCATACCAAAAATGTACTTATAACAACAATGACTATTTATAGAGCACTTAATGTAAGTCAATCTTTATGTATTATATGTACATTAATCCTCAGAATAAGCCATACAATAAGGGTTATTCTTAACTCCAGTTTATAGACAAAGAAATTAGGAACCTCAAGTAGAAGAACTTTAAGTAAATTGCCTGAGAGCACAAATCTAATGAATAATGAAAATGGGTTTGAATCCAGGTAGCCTGACTCCAGAGTCTGAAACTTAATTATTGTGCCCCAATGCCACTATTAACAATATTAATGAATGAGAAAAGGGAAGAAGGCAGTAGGCTGGATGAATGAATGAAAGGAGGGATTTTAAAAGGTGATAAAAGAATGAAAGAAAGAAGGAAAGCAGAAAAGAAGTACCGGAAAAAAGGATGGAAGGTTGAATAGAAAGCAACATCGAGGGGGGACTTAAAAGAGGAATGAAAAGATGGAAGAAAGAAGGGCTAGAGGCATGATGGATGGATGGATGGTTGAATAAATGGGTAGATGGAAAGAAACGAATATAACTGGATATACATAAGAAATAGAAGCCTTTCTTTATTTGCCTTAATGAAGCTTCCAATATTGCTCCTGAGAAGACTCCTGATACCCACAAAATAAAGATTCAAGGAAAAGATGATCTGAGCTTTCTTGAGAGCAATGAAGTTTGATTAGCAACTTTTCTCTACGACTTTCCTCATACACATTGAATCTGTCTGTTATCTACTGCCTAGGATTTTTTCCATCAAGGCTATCCTGGACAATTTTTTAAACTGGATATTATCTCCATAAAAGGCATTGGAGACACCAGTGTCCTGACTTTCTTGTGTTCCTCAAAGATGCAGGGAAAAACACCTTAAGCACATCGGTTCTGGTAGTTACAGAGGAAGATTGTACAGCTCTCTGTATAGAGGTGCTGTTATTAAACTTTTCTTGAAAAAAAAAAAAAAGATTCTCTGAACTTAACTCCCTGGCCTTTTGACTCCCCATTCAATCTCTCTCCATAACCTGCTGCCAGGTGTTTAATAACCTTTTTTTTTTTTTAAAGGATGACATTGTGTGGACATCTTACACAAATACTAAGAGATTCATAGATAAAAAGGCAACAGCGTAAGTGTTGTTTATCAAGTAAAGCTGCTTAGGTTGCTTGTTAAATATTGCTATGATTTGAATGTTCCCTCAAACACTCATGTTGAAACTCAATCCCCAGTGTGGCAGTACTGAGAGGTGGGGCCGTTAAGAGGTGATTAGATCATGAGGACTTTGCCCCCATAATGGATTAATGCATTCATGGATTAATAGATTAATGGGTTAATGGATTAGTTAGTTATCCATTAGTTGCTCTAATGGGAGTGGAACTGGTGACTTTATAAGAAGAGGAAGAGAGGCCTGAGCTAGCATCACACCCCTTGGCATGTGATGTCCTGTGCTGTCTCTGGATACTGCAGAGTCACCCCACCTCCAGCAAGAAGCCCTTTACCAGATGGTCCCCCTCAACGTTGGAATTCTCAGCCTTCATAACTGTAAGAAATAAATTCTTTTTCTTTACAAATTGCCCAATTCCAGGTATTGTGTTATAGGCAATGGAAAATGGACTAAAGATAAGTATTAAAAGACAGAGTATGTCTTGACAAATGTAATGATTGAATGGTCTTTCAAGGATCTGAACATGTAGAGCAACTGTCAAAATGGAATCATTTCCTTTCATCACTATGGCCCATTGTAGAATCTTAGATGAGACAGTGAAGAGGGGGAGATGCCAACAAATGCTAAGCTTTCAATCAAGTTACACTACAGGTGACTGGAACTTAATACCCCCAGAGAACACTGATAACATGTATAGATGTACACCCTAGGGCTATCCTACCTAAAGCATGAGGGACCTGGTATATTTACATAGCAATTTCCATTACTCATTAGTTGAAGGCTGCTCTGGTGAAAATGGGTGGCTTGCTTTCCGGCATGTTCTGCATGCTACACAGTTGTCAAGGGAGGCTCCAGCAGCCAGAAAAATACCTCAGGTAAGGAAGTGCAGGTGCTGGTGGTGGCAGTGGGACTAACATGCCCTGAGTCCATAAGAGCACAGCCATATGGGCAGAGCAATTAGTGCCCCAGACAGGGTTCACCCAACCTCATTCAGGACTGAATCAAGAAGAGCAATAATTATAAATGTTGCTTCCACAGTGTCTCCAAATCACTTAATGTCTGTAGAGTCTTAACACATCATTGTGAGCCCTATATTATTAAATCTGGCTTAAATATGTGGAGACTCAATTCTTCAAGAAGTTAGTTGCCTTCCCCAAAGTCACAAAACTACAAAGTGATGGCATCAAAACTGTGGCTCAAATCTGACTTTGCATTCAGGGCTCTTTATACTATATTTATATTGTATTATACAGACAGTGTCAAAATTAGAATGGTTTGACTTATGAGTTTTCAACTTCATGATGGTGCAAAACTGATACACATGTATTGTACTTGAATTTTGATTTCTGCTCTTTCCCAGGCTAGCAATATGGGGTAGTATACTCACTCCTGATGCTGGGTAGTGGCAGCGAGCCACAGCTCCCAGTCAGCCATGTAATTACAAAGGCAACCAACTGGCACTCTACTGTGCACTGTGTTGCCAGATGATTTGCCCAACTGCAGGCTAAAGTAAGTGTTCTGAGCACATTTAAGGTAGGCTAAGCTAAGCTATGCTATAATGTCTGGTGGGTTAGATGTATTTAACGCATTTTTGACTTAGGATATTTTTAGTTTATGTTGGCTTTTTTTTAGGGTTAGGGAATTATTTATTTATTTATTTATTTACTTTGGGGGGGTTAGGGTTAGAGTTAGGGTTATTTATGATGGCTTTATCAGGGTTCAACCCCATCCTAAGTCAGGGATATCTGTATTCTCTCCGTGTTAAACTCAAATGGAAGGTACACCAGAGCTTTCTGCCCTTCACTAAAATCTAAATATGGAAAAGGACAGAGTGTTATTCCTGACTCCCAAGCATGTGCTGTGATTACTCGAGGTGCATGGAGAACATGGCCATGCTGCTCAGAATGGTTCAATCTCAATGATGATTGCTTTGCCACTTCTTAGTACTACATCCTTTTACATTTCTGAGTTCTTTGAGAGAAGTATTTAATTTTAGTTTACATTTTAGATAGAAAGGAAAGCAAAAAGCCTGTGAAACTGAGACCTAGGGAACATTACACATGAAGCTATTTATCAGTGTATTTCTGGGAGACATTGGGCAGGGTAGACGGAGACAATAAATGGTAAGTGGAGGTTGGGTACTGGGGTTGTAGAATTGAATTTGGAGCAAGAAGACACCACAATGTGGCTTCCATTGGTACTTCTGCTCTCTCTTGACCACCCAGAGCTATGTCCCAGAGAGTCCATTTGGGCCACCATGCCCCTTGCAAACACTCCTTCAAACATATCTGTCTATTTCCTCCAGAGATGTTGCTTTCTGTGTGATAACTGGAACATCAACCCATGTGCTTCATCCACTGCTTAGGAGGTCTCCCTTCCCAAGACATTCATTTTCCTTACCTGATACCTTCTAGAGATACAGAGGCTTGCGCCAAAGGGGGAGCTGAGGAGGACATGAGGTGCAGGAGAGAGTTCTCTTGAGCTCTCTGGGGTCAGGCAACCTTTTGGTATCTCTGCAATCAAATCATCTTTCAGGCTATAGCTACTATTGCATAAAGCTACATAATCTCCTATCCCAAAATTCTCACAACATTCCAAATCTTGAATAACCATCTTCTCTCTCTCTCTCTGTATATATATATAAGTGAGTATAGATATGTATGTGTATGTACATTCATATATATGTATATATATATATTTATATTTATAATTTCAATAATGTTTGGGGTACAAGTGGTGTTTTGTTACATGGATGAATTATGCAATGGTAAATTCTGAGATTTTTGTGCACCCACCATCCAGGTAGGGTACATTGTACCTAATGTGTCATTTTTTTTATCCCTGGCCTCCCTCCTACGCTCCCTCTTCTGAGTCTCTAAAGTCCATTATATCAGTCCGTACGCCTTTTTATATTCATAGTTTAGCTCCCACTTATAAGTGGGAACATACAGTTTTTGGTCTTCCACTCCTATGTTATTTCACTTAGAATTAAGGCCTGTAGCTCCATCCAAGTTGCTGCAAAAGACATTATTTTATTCCTTTTAGTGGCTGAGTAGTATTTCGTGGTGTACCTAGACCACAGTTTCTTCCTCCACTGATTAGTTGATGGGCACTTAGGTTGGTTCTGTAAATTAGTACTGTGCTATTTTCATAAAGGTGATTTGTTTTATCTATAGTCATGGGTTGCTATTTATACTTTTGTAAGTCTTTTGATGAAAGCAATTACACATTAGAACAGATTCTTTAACCAGACCATATCTTACTTTGTATTTAGAACAGATTCTTTAACCAGACCATATCTTACTTTGTATTTGAACATTCTTTAACCAGACCATATATTAATTTATATTTATAGAATGTCATTTCAGATACACAGATCCACACACCTGGACATTCTTCCCTGCTCATCCTTTGCTCTTAACTAAATGACCCAGATTTCCTGCAGCTCACATGTGACTGAAACCATGAGAGTCTGGCAGGGTAGAAAGAAGCCAGACCTGCTGTAAATCTGGGATATGGACCACCAGAAGGCTAGCATTACAGTTTATAGATGTTGAACTGGCAAAATGCATAGTGTTTCTTCTGTACATTCAACAATGTCTAACTACTGAGCGTAGAATGGATGTGTAATCCATATGTTTCCTCAGTGCCACGTGTCAGGAAGGAAAAAAAGGAGGAGGGGTGAGGGGGAAGGGAGAGAAAGAAGGTCAGAGAGAGAAGAGAGTCCTGTTTCCTATGGCAGTTTTCACACAACAATTTAACACAGATACGTCCCACCTGTCTTCTGCAGCCTCATTTTTTTAAAAAACTCCTCTTATGTTCTCTTTCTAGAAGTTTGACTGAAGTGGAAAGAATGGCAGTTCCACATCATGACTGTCAACTGAGCATCTCAGCTGAGCCATGGAGCAGGTGAACTGGAAGTGTCTTTCCTAGTGGGTGAGACAGGCTTCTCATTTTTTAGTTTTCTCCTGTTGCTGTGATTGAATCTGTGAGTTTTTTTCTTTTAGGCTATACCTTCTCTGGGTAATGGAGGGAGATTGCCTGAAAAAGAATTTGCCCATGCAATTTCCAGAGTAACAACAGGCTTAGGGGGAAAAAAATCTGTTTAAAATGATGCACTTTTCAATTATCATGTGTCTTGTATACTGCTAATGGTACTGCTTGTCAATTATTATTAATGAGGATAATTTTAATAACAGTCAGATTAATCTGTGATGTCACTTAACCAACTATTAATAAACACGCCATAGGTCTTCCCTTTTTCTCTTGATGGCACAGTCTTGGTGATTCTTGTAAATGTGAAGCTGCTTCTGGGTCAACGCAACAAATCAGTGTATTGGGGACAGGTGGTGAAGCCAGGTGGGAAGACAGCCGTCTTCCTCAATGAACAGGCACCAGCCTCCTTGTAATTCTTTTCCTGTCACTAGAGGACTCAGGACACATATGTGCCTTTCAAAACAGGTCAGGAAGAAAAGGGAGAAGCAGCAGCAAGGAGTTTTCCCCAGAGAAAGAGGACTGATGATGTCCGCGGCAGGGAGGCAACACACGGGCTTGGTTTCCATATTCCTAAAATCCCAGATACATCCATGAGTAGGGAGACAATAGTGGGTTTCTAGGGAAGATGGAGACATGATGCCAGTTAATGTCCAACATAAGACATTAAAAAATAGAAATAGTGCCTCTCCCTTATTCTCTTGGTCATAAAATTACCAGAAGCTGAAGTCGTGAGAATGGCTGGGAAGCTGGGGGAAAGCATGGGTGTGACCAGGCAGGACCCATGGCTGGAGCCACCTGGGGACAGCAAGGGATGTCCTGGCCACACAAACTGCAAAGGCCACTGCTTTTGTTTTTTTCATTTGAAGTGTGGAGGAAACATGATAAAAATGGAAATGACCATTTTGTCAACCAAGAGGTTGACCAAACTACCAACTGAGACTTTGATTTAAAACTTGGGTAACTCACAAGCAATTGTGGTAAACTGAGGCCCACTGAGACAGTAGTTTGTGAGAAAATAAAAAATAAGGATTTAATGCCTATTTTTAATAGCCTTAGGGTTAAAGTCCCATAGCACCTGAGGAGGGTTTGGGTTAAATTCCATTTACTTTCTTATTTTTGGCATTTAGTAATTAAGACTCTTTGACATTTGCTATTAAAGCTATTTGGACTATATAAAAGGTGATATGAATGCTGATTTTTAAACACATGTGCTATATTTGCCTTTACTGTAGAATGCTTTAGATAATAAGGATGAACTACATTAGTAGGTTGATATTCCAATTCAATGCATATCATGGAGGGACTCTGTGATGTTCCAGGACCTGCAGCTGCTATTATTATCTGATCTGCCCCATATGCTACAGTGGATATTTGCCCAAACTCATATAAATTTCTCTGCAAGGTCTATTGAATGTCTCTGGTATTTGGAACATAATAATCAAAATGAATTGTTGCTCTGGTGGTAGAATGAATACAAAGGGCTGAGTAATCCACTTGCAGAAACCTGAAATGAAGATGAAAAACATAATAAGAGCCACCCTTAACATTAGCCCTGTGGGGCTTTTTATTAATTGGTCCAGATTTAAGCACAGCTTTTAATCAACTTGGAGGCTTTTATGTCTACATCCCTAGAACTGCTTGTTCATCTCCAAGAACAGTGAATTAAATGTTGAACAGATGTCAGGGAAGGTCCTTTTAAGAGAGCTCATCTTAGGACATTTCATCTACAACCATGTCTTTTAATTAAGGAGTAGAGCCATGCACCTGATCAAGCCATGTCTAGAGATAATTTGCTTTCAATTTTTCGTAGAAGAAGAAAGAGGGATTATCTCCATGCCGTTGATGACACACTTTTGAATCTATACCTGTGTAATTCAAGCCAAAATAAGCACTCCTATGAGAGGTGGGGGGAAGAAATCTTACTCAGACAATGGATTCAAAACACCAGGATAATGAACTGGCCAATAATGTTGATTTTAGTAGGGGTCCTAAAATGTTTGGGTTTCAAAAACTCTTTGAAACTTTCTCTCCACAACAATGAAAATATGAAGATGTATATGTTCCAAATCCAAATGAAATGCAAGGGATTTACGGATCCTCGAATGTCTACCCTCTGACTCAAAGGTAAGAGCCCCAAGTTAGATATTTTCGTAGCAACTAGTGATGTTTCTTTTATAAGCCTCTCTACATCTGTTATTGTTGATTTATTGTCTGCCTTTCTGGTTGGCCTATAAGCTCTCTGAAGGCAGAGGCCATGTAATCGGGGCTCCAAACATGATACCCCAAGGCATGGTGCTTTGGATGCTGCATATTTTTGAGGTGAAGGAGATTGTGAGGGTTACAGAAACAAGATCTCTCTGCCCTTCTCCCCTGTTGGATATAAAAACTAGAACTCCTTTCTCCAGAGAATAAGCCATACAACCTAGGAAGGTCACTGTCTGACCTCATTTATGCTCCTTTGAAGATCCTCTTTTGGCAGGTGTCCTATTCTTAGTGCGAAGGAATGCCATGCAGAGACGCAGAAAAGCATGTGAACATACAGGCCTTGCTAAAGTGTCCCACAGTTCATTACCATTAGATCATACCCCTTTTTGTCAATAACATTTCTCTACAATCATCACTTATTTCATCAGACTTGGTATAAAAATACATCGTTTTCCTGGGGCCTTTGGGTCTTCATTTCTGAAGATTCCCATGTCACATTGAACATTGTTAAGTAAATTTGTCTTTTCTCCTGTTAACTCTGTCTTTTGTTATAGGGGTGTCAGCCATGAAGCTTGCAATGGGTGAAAAAAAAAGATGGGGGGTGAGGAGCTGGGGAGAGATAGCAAGGGGAGAAATGCCAGATGTAGGTGATGGGAAGGAAGGCAGCAAATCACACTGCCACGTGTGTACCTATGCAACAATTTTGCATGTTCTTCACATGTACCTCAAAACCTAAAATGCAATAAAATAAATAAATGGGGAAAAAAAAAAGATGGCACTTTTTCTTCCTTGCAATCTTTATTGCTGAATCCCCAGCATGTAAAGCAAGGCCCAGGACGTAGGTAGAAGTCAACAAATATTTGTGAAATTATAAGGCAGAATATTTCTCTATTAAGTGTTTAAATTTCTTGTCTAAGACCAAATAATGCTAAGTTAAAAAAAAAAAAAGGAAACAAATTTCCGAAATTAAGAGAAAATTGATTATTCCCAGGCCTCCAATACACATGGTTAACTTGGATTTATCTAATGATAATGAACTCATGGAAAGCAGTGTTTGTAATTATATCTGATTCATTTAGTTTTCTAAATCAGCACTGTTCAAACCTCAGCATGCATAAGAGCTACCTGGAGAGGTTGTGAAAGCATAGAGTGCTGGATGTTACCCTCAGATACTGTGATTCTGGAGGTCTGGGGCTTGAAATTCTGCTTTTCTAACAAGCTCCAGATGATGTTGACAATGCTGGCCCAAGGACTACACTTCTGAGGAGCAAGGTTCTAAATCAGCATATGAAGTGATTCTAACCATCTCATTTTACAGATAAGAAATGTTGAGAGTCACATCAGCCCCAGGGAACACAACAGAGCTGGAGATCTGAAGACAGACCATTAGATTCTGGTTTCTGCTTGTGAGCTGTTACTTTAGGGTGCAACTCTACATGTCGGCCAGAAAAGCATCTTCTTTGTGTCTGTACTTTGTATTTCTCATAAGAGTCTTCTTTAGGGGATATGACTACAAAGTCATTAAGCTCTTAATTTGTTTTATTAGAGGAACACTGTTATAAGAGCATTAACCTCAATTTTAAAGAAAAAGAGTACATCTCTCTAAATCTCTCAATTTTATCAGAGGTTTCTTTTTGCATTTTTGTCAAGGGCATAGTAATTTATAAATGGATGAAATCCTGGTGAATGTAGAATTTGTGTTCAGTTTTATTTAACATATTGAGCACTTTTTTCATTAGGTTGCACTATTTTGATGATGGTTAAATAAACATTCTAAGATATGCATGTGCAGCTGAGTGTTATTAGTTCAATATAATTACCTTGAGGGGCTATCAGTCTACTCCATCATAAGGGAGTTACTCAAACATATTTAGAATACCTCTTTTGAAAAATTATCTGATTTAAAATCTCATTTTTATAAAATACTAAATTCAAACTAATTTGTGAGTTCTTTTCTCTTCTATTAGCCCTGTTTTATCCGTTTTAGAGAACGGGTTTTCTAGAACAGCAGTGTTATTCAGCCTTAATATTGCTTTTGATCATAAAAGGATTAATTTAGTTACCCATAATTATTAAGCTTGCTTGACTCTGAAGGACTTCTGCCATTTCCAAAATATAAATGTATTTTCAGAGGTTCAATACTGGCCATCACCAAGGATGTTTTAAACATGGCCTAAGGGACATGGAGAAGACTTATAGTTTGTGGTGAGGGCAGTTCCCTACTTTATGGTGTCACTCCAAAATTGACCTGTAAATCCCTATAAAAATGTACTTTCCTGCTGGGTGCGGTGGCTCACGCCTATAATCCCAGCACTTTGTGAGGCCGAGGCAGGTGGATCACTAGGTCAAGAGATCGAGACCATCCTGGTCAACATGGTGAAACTCCGTCTCTTCTAAAAATACAAAAATCAGCTGGGCATGGTGGCGCAGCCTGTAGTCCCAGCTATTCGGGCGGCTGAGGCAGGAGAATTGCTTGAACCCAGGAGGCGGAGGTTGCAGTGAGCTGAAATCGCGCCATTGCACTCCAGCCTGGGTAACAAGAGCGAAAGAAACTCTGTCTCAAAAAAAAGGAAAAAAAAAGTGCTTTCCTTAGACTAGTCTGAACTTCTTGTGAAAATATAAATATATGTGAATGATATATTCTCATATATTTATATGAGCAATTCAGTAGCCTAGGTCTTCCAGACTCTATGATGCTACAATAATGAAATTATTTTGGTACAGGGGCATGCGTAAAAACAGGGCGAATGAAAGAGAAAAGAGCTCACAAATGAGATTGAATTCACTATTTTATCAGAATGAGATTTTAAATCAGTGTGAATTGATATTTTAGTTTAAGGAATTGAGACAATATTAGCTAAATATTTGGAAATAATGCAGAGGATATCTATCTAAATTGCTGTATGGAAAATAAAATCCAGATGGGTAGGAGTGGGGCGAGGGTTGGAAATTCACCTACTGGGTACAATGCACCCTATTCAGGTGATAGGTGCACTAAAAGCCCAGACTTCATCACTATACAGTATAATGCCTTTGTACTTCTCGAATCTATAAAAATATAAAAATAATTTTAAAAACTCAGATGCAGCAAAGATTTGAGCACTTAAATAAAGTGAAACTGTAAAACTACCTAAAGAAAATATGCAAGACTGATAAATTTGACAATACAAAATGTAAACGTTCAGTGTGGCAACAATGGCACACCATAAACAAAGGTCAAAAAAGAAATAACAAACCTGGAAAAAGTATCTTAGCACATAAGAAGAAAGAGTGATTTCCCATAATTTATAAAGTATATACCCAAAGCA